GAGTGTCCGATCCATCTCCACTTTCTCCTGCATATTTGTTGGGCGATTGGTTCTTGCTTTGTTTGTTCCCATAATTCCTTGTTGGTGATTCTTTCCGGCCATCTGATCTTCAGTATAGAGCGAAGACAGTTGTTAATAAAGGTCTGCAACAGGCTGTTGGAAATATTCTTTGTGACCCCCGCCAAGTTTCTGATCCGTATAGAAGAACTGACTGACTTGACGTTTGTATTGAAAATCCGAATTTTGTTGTTGATGCTGAGTGACGAAGATTTCCAGATTGATTTCAGGTTGATGAATGTGTTTCTCGCCTTCCCGATTCTCGCTCGATTTGACATCCTCGTCCGCTCCTCCTGTAGTTGAGACAATGCTCCCTAGATAAGTGAATGAAGTAACCTCTTTCAAATCCCTCCCGTTGATGGTGATTGACGTTGGATGTTGCTGTTGTTGTTGGTTGGTTATTTTCATAACCTCCGTCTTGTCTATGTTTACCTGGAGTCCTGTCTTCGCCGGCTGCTTCTTCGACCAGTTTGTCGGTTTTCGCTTGTAAGTCTTCGATTGTGTGTGACATCAAACATAAGTCATCCGCGAAATCCAGGTCTTCTAGGTTCTTCACGTCGGTCCAGGATATTCCTGTCTTCTCGTTTCCCACAGTCTGACGCATAATCCAGTCCACCACAATTAGGAATATCATTGGTGATAATAAGCACCCTTGTCTGACTCCTGTGTTTACTCCAAACGCCTCGCTGAGTTTCCGTTGTGGATCACTTGACATGTGCCGTTGTCGTACAGCTGTTGAATAAGGTTGATGAATATTTGGGGTACGCCATAGTACTCGAGTAATTTCCAAATTACTTCACGATCAACGCTGTCGAAGGCCTTCTCAAAGTCTATAAAGTTGAGGTAGAGGTTTGATTGCCATTCCATGCTTTGTTCTGGATGATGATGCGTAGAGTTGCAATTTGGTCAGTACATGATTTGCCTTTCCTGAATCCAGCTTGTTCTGGTCGGAGTTCTGTCTCCAGTGCGTCCTTTAATCTCTCCAGGATGATGCGACTCAGGATTTTACTTGGCGTCGACAGGAGCATGATTCCTCGCCAGTTCTTGCAGAGTCCTAAGTCGCCCTTCTTTGGTAGTTTCACGAGGTAACCTTTCCTCCAGTCAGTAGGCACCTTTCCCTCCTTCCAGACCTTTTGCAATAATGGAGTCAGCATGTCTGCTGTCGTCTCTGGGTCCGCTTTCAGTGCTTCAGGGGGTATTCCATCTGGTCCGGCTGTTTTTCCAGCTTTCAGAAGTTTGATTGCGTTCAAGACTTCAGCTCTCGTTGGAGGATTGGTGTCAACTTGCAGTTGTGTGCGCGCTGTTGTTGGTATTTCTGGACGGGTTGCAGGTGATGGTCGGTTCAAGAGTCCTTTGAAGTGATCCGCCCATTGTTTAATCTGTTTTTCTTCCTTGGTAATGGGTTCCCTTGGCTGTCTTTTATAGGTTTCGCTTGTGTTGATCTCTTCCCGGATAGAGATTTGGTTATCTGATATAGTGTCCTCAGGTCCCTTTTGCCTGCTGCCTTTTCAGCTTCAGTAGCTAGATTGTCGTAGAATCGTCTTTTGTCCTTCCTAGCACTCTTCTTCACTTCTTTGTCCAGTGCTTTGTAAGTTGAGCTCATCGTCTCCTTCTCCTGTCCGTCCTTGCATTGAATCATTTTCTCTTTCACCATTCTCCTCTCTTCTATTAATTTCCAAGTGTCCGTTGAGAGCCATTCCTTGTCTTGTCTCTTCTTTCTTCCTAGAACCGTTGAACACGTTTCGTTGAGAATCGCCTTCAGAGACTTCCAATGTTCTTCCACGCATGATTCTTCAGTGCTGTCGCGTAGTGTTTCCTGCTTTGCTCTGACAGTTGCAGTGAAGGTGTCTTTTGTGGTTGTGTCCTTCAGTAATTGAGTGTTGAACTTGCATTGTGGCCTATCCCCAGCTATCCTCGAGGCTTTTAGTTTCACCTTGAAAGTCCCTTCTACTAGATAGTGGTCTGAACCCACATCTGCTCCTCTCCTTGACCTTGTGTCCAGTAGGCTCCGTCTCCACTTTCTTGAAATTGAGATGAAGTCTATTTGGTTCTTGGTGTTTCCATCTGGTGAAATCCATGTCGTCTTGTGTATATCCTTGTGTTTGAACACACTACCACCAATCACCAAATCATTGAAGGCGCAGAAGTCTGAGAAGAGTTCACCATTGTCGTTCATTTCGCCGAGGGCCTCACGACCCATGGTGAGTTCTCTTCCTGTGTTGTCTCCTCCCAGCTTCGCATTCATGTCGCCCATCAGGATTTTGATATCGCCATTTGGGACGTTGTCCATTATTGCTTGTAGTTGTCTGTAGAACGCCTCCTTCTTCTCTTGTTCTGAGACGTTTGTAGGCGCATAACATTGAATGACTGTAACTTTCCTTCCTTTTGAGTTGAACCTGGCTGTCATTATCCTGGAGGAGATTGGTTCCCACTGCATGAGAGCTTTGGTTGCTGTTGGTGACATCATGATGGCCACTCCCTCGGTGTGCTCATGGTTGTCCTCTGGGTGGCCGGAAAAGATTACTGTCTCTCCAGTAGGTAGTTGGCACCTTCCAGTTCCGTTCCATCTGCTTTCGCAGATTCCCAACACTTCTATTCTGTACCTTCTCATTTCAGCGGCTATCTGGGCAGCCTTTCCAGTTTCGTACATTGTACGAACATTCCAGGTACCCATCCTTACTTTTGCTTTGCTAATATATTACTACATTTTCTACATTTTACTAATCAGTGTTTTATTCTCATCATCTTCACACTTGCATTTCAGGTGATAACAGTTTTCACCTTGTCAAATTTCAAACCTTTGCTTACATTCAGTCGCTAATTATTATGTGACTTCTTCCAGTCTTTAGAAATCACGTCTGAGTAAATGTATCAATTGTCACATCCACTTACCGCTTAATAATAGACTGTTATAGGGATCAGTTAATATAAATACGATTTTGTAGTCTTTGAAGATGACTTTATCGGTAAATAAAATTTTCTTCGCTGGACTGCTTTTTATTTCATATACATATCTCAAGTACATTTTGTGTGGCCTGTTAAAATACATTATATGCTTAATTTATCTGCACTTATTTTGAAGTACACTTAAGTTTTATACAGTTTTGTCTAATATGTCAGGCCGCAAATACCGAAAACAAGAAAGGTAAAGAGATGTTTATCATCTGGTGTAACCACAATATAAATTGTTGTTAATTCTGTATAAAAACCCTGCTTAAGTAATTTGTTAATGTAACTCTAGTTCTCAACATACACCTCATAACCATTAACAAGGAACAGTGCTTAATACCGACAAGTATAGTAAAAAAACAAATCAGTTCTGGTGGATTGAAGATTTTGTGAGCATACAGATTCTTATGGTAAGTACGGGAAGTTTAATCTGTACCGAATAAAATAGGTAAATAACTATCATAACTGAACTTTCCTTCGGACTACAGCTTACTTAACACACTATTTTCAGCTCATTAACCTAAGCTTCTTCATAAAATTTACTAATAATAATAATAACAGCTTTATTCCAAACAGTATTTGTGGTACAGGTACGGAATTTTTCAGCGTGCATTACAATATATTGCATCTAATTACCTCATAAATTTTATAAGATTTTAAAAATCAAAAAGCAACACCCAGAAAAAAAGATAAATAAAAAGAAAACAGCGTTGCGTTTACATTTTAAACAATGCACCACAGGATATGAAATATAAAATTAGTGTGTAATAGAAGATGTGAACAACAGTGTAATAGTAACGAGAAAGGAAAACAAAAACTAATGAAACTATTTGTTAGAATGCCGCAGTAAGTTGATCGTGTCATACCTAACGGATTTCTCATCACATAACAGCTGTGCCAGATATGGTATTGTGGAGTTTTTGTAATTGGTAGTCCTAGCATATAGCCTCCTTTAGCTGCTTCTTGTTCTACCAGATGAAATGCAATGAGAGAGCTGTGTATAGAGAGCATGCTCGGGGCCTGACAATATTGTATTCTCTAGTTTCTTACATGACATTATATGTTTATCCACAATATTGTTAACCAGTTGGTTTAACAATATCCTACTTACCCTACTAACAACTTTAGTGCCTTCTCAGCAAAGCAAAGTCTTTCTTAAGTAGTCCAGGAAAGATTAAAGGGGAGGAGTAAAGGGGGATGGGTAGAATACAAGAATTGACAAACTGAGAAGCAAAGACTGCTTTATGCAGACTGCCTAGAATTCTTAACATAGAACGTTAAGCGAAACACCTTTCTGGTAACTAGCAAGATGTGGGAGGACCAGGAAAGATCGGTGGAAAAACTCAGCCTAAGGTACTTGACATTAGATGTATTTTCAATTTACTCCAAAGACAAGAAATACAATCTGTTATCTTAACATCTGCTCTACAAGGAATTTGGTAAGTTCAGAAAGCCGTCATAGGGAATCAAATGTGAAATTTTGTTAAGAAATTCTTGAATTCAGCAAGGTCATTATGTGACCCTGACGCCTAAAATATTGTGAGATGCCTTTGAATGCTATATCGTGTGCAACTAATAAGGAATTATGGATGTTATTTTACGAAAAGCCTGAATTTAGACAACTACAAACAATAGGTCATAAGGAAGATGATCTACTGCAGTATGTAGAAGTTTTCGGATCTGTTTAAGTGGTCCATCATTGACGGAATTTTAGACACGGAGAAACAGTGGTGAATCGTGTTTTACTTTATAACTGATTCTTTAAATAAGAGAGATTTTCGAAACCAAGGCCATTAATCAATTTAATCGAGAAAATATTATGAATTCCATGATGAGGTAAGGTTTATTCAGTTTTCGAGAATAAGGAAAGATAAACAGCAACTAATGTCCGCTATTAATTACTATTTGCAGAAATTGAATAATGTACGATCATGTGACACACACACACATCGATCCTCTGATTTTAAATAAGCATAGGAATGCTTACGTAAATTAAAAAAGGAGCTTATACATTTACTCATCAAAACAAAATGCTGATAAAAATCCAAAAATTATGATTATAAATTAGCTCAATAAATTAAACAGAAATAATGAAAGTAAGAATGCTGAATAGAAAGCATGACACATCAGTTTACTTGTGTCAATCATCAGTTCATTGTCAACAGAATCTACCTATCAAAAGATCATGGATGAAGAGGTTGATGAAAACCAATAGTACTGCAAATCTGTTTCAGAAAAGTTAGATACATCTTCAGATATTACAAAAAAAGCACCAACAATGTTTATCGATTCTGATGACTGGGGACTCTATTTGACGGTTTGTTGTAAATTGCAGCAAATTAAAATGTTTCATGATTGTTCAACAACAGAAGCTGTAAAATTACTCATCAGTGATCGTCGTAGTCACAGTAAGAGTGGTTGTTTAATACGACTGATAACTGCTTTCAATAGTCTTTATGCTGAATACAGTAAGGTGTATGATCTCAATAAATCTTTGCGAAGAACAGATCTCGCTGGCAGTGAAAACAAAGAATCTGCTTCTACTTCTTCTTCTTCTACGTATTTGATAAATAATTTTAGTGAATCGTTGACAGACAGAAACACCAATAATAACTTAATTATTCCCAAAGGAACAAAGGATTTTTGGTCATCATTTCTAGGTTCGAATTTGGATCCATCAGGCGATTTCCAGTTATCTGATCGCTTTTCTAGAGAAGCTACGGAAAACAAAAGATTAACTTCTTGTGATAACGTTAAGAATAATGAGTGGAAATGCAACTTGAGCAATTATTGTGAAATTGACCCAAATAATGGTGACGCAAATGTAAATGTTCACCGAAAAAGTAATAAAATCGAATTCGCTAGCCCACCTCCTTCACCCAAAACACCACCTCTCCATTCTTCATTCACTTATGACGTTACCGAAACGAAAGGAAATTCAAAAAACAGTTCAAATGCTCATGCCAAAAGTAGGTGTTTTATATGGCGTCGCAAAATATCCACGGAAAGATCTTGTTCTGAATCACGAACTACGGAAAGAGATACTATATGTCAACATAATGATTTCTTTGTAGACAGTCAGTTGACACCCAGAAAAATCGTAAATGCTTACTATGATAAAATATATCGTAAGCATACAGAAAATGCAATAACAGTTTTTCAACTTTCAATACATAGGAGAACAGTCGAACACTGTATACAACTAGCAAATAGAAAGCTTTTTTCCAAGATGAAGCATAACAATTCAAATTCAGAGAGTATACTATCAAATACTGTACGTCTACCGATTGTTCTGGAATTAGCCATGCCTAAAATGCAACGGCAAATCGAACAAATTACAAAGTATTGTCCTTATTTAGATAATCCTCTTGAAATCATAGCTGAACTACGATATGTTAACTATGATACAGATGAGTGTATTGCATACTTTAAAAAAGTACGGAAACTACGAGACATTGGCCAAGAAATGGTGGTGAATACATATTCATTAAACAGAGAAATTAATCAACGTAGGGAGCACTGTCGACCCACTGAAGACCGTTTATTAAATTCATGTAACTTGAAAGAATCAGGCAAACTTCGAATAAACATGAATAAGGACATACTATCACTCCTAGTTGAACTTAAATCTTTTTTAATCCAACTAAAAGAAGACAAAAATAGTACTTTGAGAAAACTAGCTCGTCTGAAAAGTTTCACATTGAATATGACAAATGAGTTCATGGATTCTGTTGAAAAAAAACTGGCTCCAACACCAATTGTATGAATACTTCATCAACTTGTAGAAATTTTATGACTTATGGTAATCATAAGTCCAATGAAATGACATCATGTTCAAAGCTTTCTAAGCTTATGGAAGAAAACAGATCACTTCGTATGACACTCAGAATGGAGGAAAGTCGACGTAAAGCCGTTTTTAATATGATGCAAGAATATTTAGGTAATGTTAGAGTTTACTGTCGATGTCGGACTATCACGCATTCAATACAGTGTGTTCAAATTCATTCTCTAGACACGTTGTCACTTTATGTTGGAAATAAGAATAATATTGAACATTATAAATTTGAGCGTGTATTTGATGGTTGTTCCAGTCAAGCAGAAGTGTACACAGAATTGATGCCGTCAGTCTGTTCATTTCTAGACGGTTACAATGTTTGCTTTTTAACTTACGGTGGTGAAGCAAGTGGTAAAACATATACTCTCTTGGGCCCGGAAGATCGCTCCACTGAAAATCAGGGTATCGCACAACGAGCCCTGCATACAATTTTGAGAGAGCGTGATATCAGACAACCCGAATGGAATTTTCAGCTACTGGTTACAGTTATCGAAGTCTATAACGACACAGTGACTGATCTTTTAAGTATGCACACAGGAACACCTGTTCGTATTGATATGAGTCTGGAACAAATAAAGGAGAAATTGGAAACAATTGCCATTGAAAATGACTCACATGTGGAGGGACTGTTGAACATTTGTCGTCAGCGTCGAAAAACGTGTAGTACTGCGCTTAATCCACACTCTTCCCGTTCCCACTTACTCATATTTGTTCACTTACGGGCTTGCAGTCGGATTCATGAAAGTGAAGTTAGCAGTGTTTTGGCGTTGTGTGATCTTGCAGGTTTTGAGGATATAATTAAAGCTGAGACGTCAAGTGACAAAATATCTACTAAGGAAGCAGGATACATTAACAAGTCTCTAACTGCTCTGAATCGAGTTTTCACGGCACTACGCACACAAGATCCTAACAGTATTTCTTACAGGGATTCAAAGTTAACGCACATACTAAAACCATTTTTCACGCAGTCTGGTAAATGTATACTTATTGTTACTATCAGAACGGACAAAAGTAGTATCAGTTCGACGCAAAATACTCTTCGATTTTCCAAGATATCGCGTGGTGTTAACCTAGGAAGACCAAATAAGAAGTTCAATTTGGATAAACTAATAGACAGTCTTAGAAATGCATAAATTTAAAATAAAAAACAACTAATAAGTACTCGACAAACTTCTATGAAGAATGGAAAAAATTATTCTTACATGAAAATTCCCCTTTTCGGAAGGAAATATCCTAAATTGTACATTTTAATTTCAGAAAGTGATGTTTTCTATTTCGTTTATAAATGTATCACTTACATGATCCATACATCTTGATTTTATCATGATAGTTTGAATAATTTTTATACACTGATATGGGATTAATTTTTTACTCTCATGACAGCAAAATACTGTAAATATAATTGTCGCCTTTATAAAATAATACAGCTCACTGTATTCAATCATGACAGCATACGTTATCAGTCATTCAGCGGGCTTACATTTAATGTACACTAAATAGCTTGACATCAAGCCACTCTAATACTCTACAGATGACTCAGTACAGTAAACTGTACTCTTCAGTTCGAAGTCTTTTATGCTAGGTACTATTGAACACAGTGAATTAAAATATTACTTACACGCTTGCCATAGATGAGTCTGATTACCTTCGTAAGTTGTAATATACATCTCTCACTGAATATTTCATATTTTACTGATTGTACATACAGTAATTTTTCCAGTTTACTATGTTTACCTCTCGAACCATATGCTTAATCTATATGAAGTGAAATTTCTTCATGTGTGATCTGGAATGGAAATTCTGTGTGGAAATCACAAAGTTACGTTACAGGTGTAAGCTTGCAGGACGCTGGTTACTAAACTTTACATAACATAGTTTTACTCTTTAGAGAACTATCAGAGTGGACATTCTCCTGTTTATCAGGCAATAAGTATACCTGCTAGTTAGTCAGAATGATGACTACCAATAGAAAAATATAAGCAACGAGAGACTAAAATAATAAGGCATATCAGTCATGAAATGACTGACACAGATGAATTAATATGGAAGAAAGTTGGATGGAATGATTTGATTTAATTTTCGGTTTTTGATTACAGCTTGATTCCACACTGTATTTTTGGTACAAGTATGGAATTTTCAGCATGGATATCGGTAGCCCAAATTTTGCAGGCCGACCATAGATATCAGGTGTGTGTTGGCGTGGGCTCGAACCCCGGACCATGTGCATGGTCGGCGAGAGTCCTAACCACTGTGCCACCGACAACGAATGAATAGATTACTGACGAATCCTCAGAACGGATACAGAAAGATGAGGTGGTATTTACCTAACCGAGTCATTTTTAGCGTAGGTCTCATAATCGGCTGCACAATAAACGATGCGTACTGAGCGGCCGTTTGTTTAGTCCTTCTTAATGGTACATACGTCTGCTGAAGACAAAAAGTATGAAAAAATTAGGTCTGAAATTGTCACTGTTCAACAACCGCTCATGTTACACGGAGTAACATGTCAAGTAACAGTGATGTTTATGCAGCATCCAGTAAGGAGAAAACATTGCTCTGTGCTTTTGAGATGGCTGGATTGTGTTAAGCATATCGAGCCGCTAACTCGTTTGATAAGCAATGTGAGCCACATTAGGATTAGGGAAAAAGTCGAGGTAGACCAAAACATGACACCAATGCATAGTCATTAAACGTTGATCAGGGTGACTCAGAGAGAGCTGCATGTTAAGAACAAATGGTTGGAGATTTTTTATGACGGCTCGAAATTTCACCATGAAATAAATGAATTCATTTTTTACATTCTTTTTGTTCCTAAAATATTCATTAACTTCCTTTTGATCATGCTCTTTCAATTATTGTTACCCATTACAATTGCGTCCGATTCTGCCACTTTAGCATGTCTTTTCGAAGTGCCGTAACCGAAACTCATACACCTTTGAGCAGTCCACTGCTACGTCAGACGAGAATTATCAACTTAAGCTTTTTACAATACAGTATTTTTTGGTCGCTCAACATACTACGAAACTGACTACAAACTAAACATCTTACTTCGCCCTACAAAATTAGGCACTACCATAAGATCTTTATGCCTTAATATATTCTAGTACACGAAATTTTCAAGAGGAAATCATCCAATATATTGGACACACGTCATGTACAATATACAGCCTAGGAATTCAACAAACAGGGGGAAATTGCAGAATACAGGTGATCACCAAGAGTGATACTGAAGAAACCTTCATAACTATACATGCACTATAAGTGTGAACTTTGTTAGGGTTAAAATACGTACGATTTGGTGGTTAAACAAGGTTTAACTCAGAGCTAAGGGTTAAATAAATGTTAGACGCAGATCAGGAACCTGGTAATTTGAACGTATAGACCACTTTTCGGGTACGAGAAGTAGATTTACGGAAGTTAAATATGAATAGATAACTTAGAAGAGTACAGTTTCATAGCAGGTCGACAAACTTTACATAAATAAATAAGTGCATGAATAGTTTTATACAAATCTCAAGTAAGTACATTCAAAATACAGATTACATAAGCCACATGGCGAAATACCCATGAGGTAGGAGTATAAAATGGCGTGTTGAAAATTCTAATTTATTGATAGACTCACATGTCCATTTGTTACAAAGTAATTTCTTCTCAATTTTCTGTCATACTGTCGTCAACTACACAGTAAAAATAATAATAGGTTCATTGCGAATATTTATTTATTTTTTTTATTTATAGCTTGAAACCACACTGTATTTTTGGTACAAGTATGGAATTTTCAGCATGTGATATCGGTGGCCCAAATTTTGCAGGCCGACCATAGATATCAAGTGTGCATCGGCAGGGAGTCAAACCCCGGACCATGTGCATGGTCGGCGAGAGTCCTCACCGCTGCACCACCGACGCACTGACAACTAGGCAGTATGACTAAAACATTATCTTTTTGTGGATTTACTTGAATCCATCTACAAACCTTTGAACAATAACTGCACTGGCATTTTTCATTTGGACAGGCTGAAGTGAAATGTTAGAATATTTTGATCTTACCCCTCACACTCCCAATAAATTAGGGTTTCGACTTGAACTTTCGGACACCTGTACAATTCTATACTTTCATTTGTCAGTCAGTAATTAATTAAAACAATAGGAATATTCTCATAATTTATTCAAGACAATAATATTGGTGAGAACAACTGTTTTCAATAGCTTCGTTAGGCAGTCGAGTTTTAAATCCGGTCATAACCACACGATGACTACTATTTTACTATTATTGCTTGTTACCTCTTGAACTTACATTCAGCGCACTCCACTTGTTTGTTTCTTTGTTTTTCAATATTAGTATTTCCTCTCACATCACTGATGACAAATCACCTCTTAAAGTCTAAACTTTTGATGAGTATGAACTTCCTATGAGTTATGAAAGAAATGAAAAATGTTTCTTTCGCTCCCCTCCCCTTATTACTCCACGATAGGCTGCTATACATTTTAGTAAAGTCTCTGAAGAAAGTTTTTCACCATTAGATTCGAAATTCACAAATACGTCACCGACTTATTTAATCTGGTTTTTCCTCATATTCTCACTAACCATGACAATGAAAATTAACAGACCATAAACTCATCTTGTTCTTCTACCACAATGCAGTTTCTGACACGATTTCCATTTGCATTTTCTAGATGTTTTGTGTTGACATCAGTGGATTTATGACTGTCGAACCTGAATTAGCTATTTAAAACAGTTGTTCTCACTTGTTATTGATGTGATAGGTCAGTATTGATTGTGTACCATGTCAACTGTCATAAGCCAGTGACGTAAGTATTTCTGAAAAATAAACACAGATAATTTGATTGGATAATTTTTCCCCACTAACTTCCTCCACAGTGTTAAACTCGTGTGAACAATCCCGTTACATTATTGAGGTACCATCTTAATGCTGACATAGTCAGTGCCATACGTAGATGTCTTATCAGCAAAACAGATGCAAATTTTCAGGGTTGTGAAATAATGATTCTAGTGTTTTTGTGCAAGCAAATCATTATCAACAAAATAATCAAGATCAAAGGAGAGAAATCATAGATAATGACTCATATATATATATATATATACATATGTAAACGTCAGTGGATTGTAATCAGATATGTTGAAAACCATAGATATAAATTAGAGAATGAACGAAAGTTGGAATGCCGCGTAGTTGTTGAAAGTGACTAGTTGTTATTATATGGTTGTGGGCAATCGGCAGGAAGCCTTGGACCTAGGTTTTGTGCTAGTCGGCACTCACTAGTCAGTCAGTAAAGCGTATCTGCAGCCTTGAGGGGACTCATGTCCCTTCTGAGATTCAAATCCGCATCATCCAGTGCTAAAGTCTGCACCAAACAAAGGACTTGACACATCACAGTAGTTACTAGTGTCCGATCAAAGTGACTAGTTGTAATAGATTGCATAAATTTACTAACCAGTGGAAGTAAATGTTTGTCAATGCATAAGAAAGACAACTAAAGACTGGGATAGGAGGTTAAGATACCCATTTTGTGCCTATAGGAAAAATTATAAGTTTTATTTTAAACTACTGCTACTATCGGTGTCATCTGAAAACCTTGATTTGATTGCTTCTTCGTCGATTGCTTCCTGGAAATGAATTTATTACCAGGATGAAAAGCAGTAATTCACTTTATGCACCTAGTTACTGTTTTATCTCATGAAACCATCTTAAAGACCAAGACAAATTAATGTCTTAAACAATGATCTGTTGATTAAAGTGACTATTAGAATTTGGACTAAACCCTGAACCCAGCAGCCGTGTATTAACACCTCAAAGTGTCATCCTCTGGACTACTGATTCATGACTGTTACGCTTACAATTCCACTTGGTGGCAGCTAACGAAAACCATCTAGTAGTCAGTGTGATTTTGTCATACTAAGAGGTTGTCAAGTAGCAGAAAGATATGTCTTGCAGCTCACCGACGCAACAGACCGGAGAAGAAAATGACGATGACGTAAAAAATTTCACTTAAAGCCAAAAATTAAATCGTCTAATAATGTACACAATAATATGCACAGATGACTCAACACCTGTCTTGGACATCCGAAAAAATCAGCCTTTCCTATGACTTATGGTAAGCAAAGACGAGAATCCAGTTTCATAATTGTGTGGCAATGACTGATATGATTATGAACAATAAATTTTGTCCAAAACGCTATTCAGTAAATAATACTGTCTCATTGTTTGATACATCCAAAGAATAAAAAATTAAAGAAAGTAAACGTCCATGCAAAATACTAGTATTTCAGTTG